TGACAACATTCTGCTTGAAAATGATTAACAATTTCTTAACCATGTGAGTTATATTCAAACTGGGTAGGATGAATTACGTCATTTTGCTTGAAAAATGTTACCAATTTCTTAACCAAATAAGTCATGTTCAGTTTCGTCGTGTCATAACGTGAATTTCAAATAAACAATATAGGAAATTACTTACATAGCACACTGCTAGGGCTGGAAATTCAATCTGTGTTTTGAGTATCTTTGCAACAAAAAATGAGGTACATTAATCATGAAAAAACCCAACAATTTAATGCTCTTCTACATTGTCCAAAGTTAGAATCATATTTTTATAGAATTTAATGCCAACTAAGAATCATTCTGTATAGAACAAAAAAAGGATTCATGAAAATGACCCAATTTAGGCCCCACCCTAAGGTTGTGTTTAAAGCAAAGAATCTCACAATTAAATCACCTAAGCTATGGACTTGGGAGAAATAATCATTTATCCTATTATTTTATGCACATTTTAAAAGGGAGAAAGGAAAACCATTTTTTTTTTCTAATTTTTTAAGGAGAAATTTTACTGGTCACCAACCAGTAATGGGTTGGAAACCACTCTATTCAATGTTATATATTAATAAAATATATGTTAAATTACCAATTTAGTCTATAAAATGTCACGTGTGTGGCTAATATAGATTCTTTGAATTTTAAGAAGTGTCTAATAAGTTCTCGAACTTTCAATTTCATGTCTAATCAAAAAGTGTTTATTCGTTTAATAAGTTCCTTTCAATTTGAGTCGAATAGGTTATTGACCTATTCAATGTTTTTAAAAATTTATAGATTTCATTAGACACAAAATTAAAATTTTAAGATCTTAGTATACACAAAATCCAATATTATATTTAATAGATCTGTTAATTCTAAAAATTTTCAAACACGTGTCAAGGATTTATTATACGCACAACAGAAAAATTAAATATCTAATTGACATTTTTTAAGGTTTAGGGTCTTGGTAAACACAAACATTAAAGCTAAACTTGTAATATAAACATAAAATTATACAATTCTCAATTTTTTTGAAGTGTAAAAAATTTTGTCTATAAAATATTGGTGTTGATAGTTATATCTAGAAAAAATTATGAAAAATAGTATACACTCATAAAAAGTACTACAATTAACGGTGTTAATTAATTTGTTCAATAAAATGGGCTGGAAATGTGTGAACTCGACAATGTAGGCATAAAATGGTCACGTTCTCTACGCATCTACCACATGATTGTTGATACCGTTATATCAACTTGAGTATAACTCAACTAGTTATGTCATATATCCATAACCAAGCGAGAGAAAAAATCTTTAATTCCAAGCGCTCCATCAAAACTCATTCTACATTGATCTCATTTCATGTCGTCGTGTTATCGAAGGTGGTGTAATATCAATATATTTTTCAAAATCATCACATGCAAGTACAACTTATTAACACAAGAATCGATCACATCTTAGCATCACATGAAATCTACAAGATTTGAGAAATATACATCTTTGCGATATCCGAAACTTTAGACATTTTTTCAAAACGCGTTCGACTTATAGCCATACACAACAATTTATTATCCATAATTCTTTAGTTAATTTTCTAATTTCAAAAATCAGTACAAAATGAAATAGGGATAAAGAACATAAATTATTGATTATGGGAATCCTAGGCGTTGCTCAAGCATCAAAGTTATAAATGAAATTATTYAATAAATGTGCTATCTGCAAAATTTCAAATCTAAATCATATGTAGCATTTCTCAAACTTTGGATTGTGGGAATTGTTGAC